AAATAAACTGTTTTCTGCAAACTATTTGTGTGATAAAATATGGATTTATAATTCAAATAAACTGTTTTCTGCAAATTTGTGATGTGGCAATTAACTTATAGGCCCCTATTTTTCCAAAACGTTATTATTATTATCATCATCATCTTAATTTTGAGAATTAAAGTTCTCTTGTGTGCACTAGGATTCTCAAGAAGTTGCAACTATTCATAATATTACTATTCTCCCTCACTGTAATAATTTTGCATAAAGTTACTCTTCTATGATACAGAATTGTGGTCAATTTAGAAATGAGCTCTTGGGTCACATTTCCTGGAATAAAATTTTGAATGACAAAATGATCATCTGTGTGACCTTGACAAAGTTAAACTTTCTTGGTCATAAGCACTTTATATCTATATTGGGAGTGGCAAATATTCACTATAGGATAGGGTTGATAAAGAGATTAAATGATCAGATGATATAACTGTTCTATTGTTCTTGTAACATGAAATTGATAGGTTATAAGTTATAACTTCTCTTTTTAACATATGCACAAATCTGTCTTGTCGAGGGACCATCAATACCTACTTAAGCTGGGAAAGCAACCAACAGTGGAATTGTATCATTATCAGTAAAACTTATCTGTTAACTCTTTTCATGTTACACAGGACCTCTAATTAAAGAAGACTTCTATGGCTTCTTCCTTTTCAGACTGGCTTCCATGTGAGTTCTTTTAAGATGAGAAGGAAGGGTATGGACAGAATAGATGAGAGGAGAAAAGGATACTGCAAACCAATAAAATCAAACATGAAGCCTGTAGGATACTTGTGCATGTATGTCCATATTTTTGAGTTTGTTTGTTTTGCATTAATATAAACACAATTAATGTGTTTTGGGGTTAAAGGAAAACATTAAAAACTTCTGCAAGTCATATCATCTTGACAACTTAAACTACAAATGGAAGATATTAAAATAAATGTTTATAATCTCTGTGAAAGAAAATGGCTCAGCATTATGAATATATATAGAATGGGAACTAAAGATAGAAAAATTATTGGGAAACAACTTATTGTACAAAAGTATATAGAAGAGCCTCTCTAAAATAAGAATAGAAGAACCAAGATAAGAACGATGGCTCATTGTCAATCAGAGGAGATAAGGAAAGAGGAAACCTTCTAGACCACGACAACAGAGTATGCAATGTTCTCTCTGCCAGTGAGCTTGTGTATGAAAGGATTTGAGAGGCCAGTGTGTGAGGGCAAGCAGAGGTAGAGCATCAGGAGGACGGGAGTGTGTGAGAACCATGTAGAGCTCTTTATTCTTCCTCAGTGTCCCAGCTGCATTATGAATTCTACATGTATTTGTGGGCTAGCTGTTGCAAAATCCTGGCCTGATCACTCATCTTTTAAGATGTTTATGTGAAGTCTGTCACACATGACACTGTGTCTGAAATCTAAATAAGTAAACGTTTTTTTTGTTGTTGCTTTGTGGAACTGGGGATTGAACTCAGGCCCACGCACTTGCCAGGGAAGCACTTATTACACTGAGCCATCTACCTGGCCCCTAAACCTAAATGAATATGATACCGAATGTACCTAATAAATTTTGAAACCAAAATGTGAATTATATCACAAAAAGTAAACTTTAAACCTATCATATGCCAGAAGATCATAGAAGAAATCTCATTAGTAAAGATAAATCAAAATCAGCATGTTTATTTTAAATAGCATGTTATGGACAAGTAATTCCATTTCTAGAAATGACAAATGAGTCAGCTAAAGATTGATTAACATAACTTATCACAAAAAGGTCAATTAATTTATGTCCCAAATATAATCACAATATCAAAAGTGGACTAGCTGTAGCTGTACCTAGCATCTAGATCTGAGCCTGTCAGAAAATAAACAATCCAAAGACCACTTCCTACTTAAGTAAAAATGTTTTCATAACCATGGCTGATATTAAAACAATAGCCATATCCTCATAAATGTGAATCCATTAAACATCACATTGGAGTATTTCTGTTACATTCTTTAAAATGCCAAAACAGACTAATTCAAACTAAGTCCTTCGAAATATTCTTGAACATTCAATGGGATTAGTACTACAAAAAGAAGGAAGATTTAGCTGAAAATAGAATATCAATGATAGTTACAATATTGGAAGTTACTACTATGAATGCTAAGGTAAACAACCAACAGAAGAATATAAAAATAAAATAAGCTGTTAATATGGTATATCTGCCAGAAAAAAATTGAAAATGTAAGACACTGTGTTAATTATTGACACCATCCTACCAATTTGATTTGAAATTGTCTCATTGCTATTTGTTTCTCAATAAAAGTATGGAAAAAAATGTGAGACACAGCATCGTATTACATTCCCCTAATCCCAGGACCCTGGGATATGAGGGACAAGGTTTTCAAATATGATCCCACCCTAGGCAGTTCAGTAACTTAGTGAGGCTCTGTCTCAAAAGTAAAAAATAAAAGAAGGGCTCGGGATCCAGCTTAGTTTAAAGGTCCCGAATTCAGTACCCAGTACTGGATTAAAAAAAAAAATTAAATGAACAAAAATTTAACAAAATATCCAATGAAAATGAACAAAATAGAGAATAGCTAAGACACAAATTTTATGTGTCTAGTTAATTAATGATAATCAGATGCACAAAATCTGACAAAAACCTTCATTATATATGAAAGATTAGAAAATAATTCGTACAGTGACTCTAGGTTTCAAAGAGCAGAAAATAAAGCAGAGAGATAACTGAATATGACAGGTTTGTATGGAAGCCAGAATTTCTTCAAAGTGCAGAGACATTACCTTCATAAATTATGTAAATTTAGTATGATGCAGCATCTTGCTTGTGAAGGAATAAAGGGCAAAGTAAGTACCCACTTGTTTAGTTTTAATCTGCTAGGTTCACTGGGGCATGGTCTGACGCTTACCTCTGAAGCTTTCTCTTCTTTTCTGTAAGTTCCAGGGAGGCTTGTTTAGGTTTCAATTGAACTTGGCACTGCAAGAATACAGGTCATGAAGAACAAGGGAATGTTTGAAGATTGAAGCGTGTTAAACATTAAATTCTCAGAGCACCTCATTAAATAAATTGTTCTACTGTGTTTCCATTTTCTAAATAATTCAGGTCCTTTGGAGTATAGAGAAGACAGTGAAACGAAATCTTCTCAGACAATTTTGTATCTATCTAGGCAGCAATAACAAAGGCGAGATAGATTATTTCTTGCAATGAAAATCATTTTTTCAGCATGATTAAAAAGTAGAAAGTATCCCATGAGAAAAGATTAATTTTTAAAAACATGATCTCAGGGCTGGCTAGATAGCTCGGCGGATTAAAGTGCCTGCTTAGGCAGACCAAGGGATCCAGGTTCCATCCCCAGTATGCCGTACCAACCCCACCCCCAGGGGGCGCTGAGAGGGCAATTGAGACAGGGTGTGGTGGTGAGCGCCTGTAATTCCAGCATTTGGGAGGCTGAAAACAGGAGGATCACCACAGTTTTATCTGTGTAATGAGACAGTGTAGACCCTGTATTAAAAACATTAAAAAAAAAAAGATGGTCTCAAGAAACATTCCTCTATACTTCTAGTAAATGTTCTTTGAGGATTAATAGATTATTGTATGTCTGGAATGGCAGTGACCAAAAAGTCTTTCAGTTTTTAAAGAGCACAAGTTAGAATTAAAACAAAAATTTCGTGTGATACAGAATTTCACTTAATGAAGTAATATAAACTTCAAAGTATTTCTTGTAGTACATAATGTTGTCTTGCAACCAGTTATTCATATTACCAGATATATACATGTGAAATTGGAAGGAGAAACAAAAGAAAC